GTCGCCCTCACTTCTCTCCCGGTTGCAGTGCCAGAAGTTTTCTCTCGCAGCGAAAGACTCGAGACTTGGTACAGACAGACAGACTCCCTCCACCTCCCGAGCAGAATTCGCCACCGACCCGCCAGGTCCATACGCAGGGCTTTCCGTGAGACAATGTAATGCACCATCCCCAACCACCCCAGGACCCGAAAAACCGCCGCAGGGGGAGGGGCGGCTTGGCTCAACTCAAGGGGAGAGGGGGGGCAGGCCAGAGGGCATCCGTGACCAGCTGGTGCCCCCCTTCCCGCAGACCCCTGCGCGGGGGAGGGCGGTGCAAATCGGGCCCGGACGCCATTTGGCGTCAGCGACCCTTTGTTTCGCCAGAGCGAACGCAGCCGCACTCGATTCTCAACGGACATCATGCTGGAACCCGGGCAGGGTAGCACAGAACGGCTCGTTCGAGAGCTCGTCGGTCGATCCTCCTCCTCGTCCTCGTCATCCTCCTCCCCATCATAATCCCCCTCCTTTTCCTCCTCCTCCTCCTCCTCCTCCTCCTCTTCCTCCTCCTCTTCCACCTCTCTCCCCCAAGCTACGTCCCCTCCTCCCCCTCCTCCTCCCCCTCTCCCTTCCTCTTTTCGTTGCCGCTGCACCTCCTTTGTCCTCCGTCCTATTCCACTCCCTCCCCCTCCTCCCCCTCCTTCCCGCCCCTCCCCTTCCACTCCCCCCCCCTTCCCCCCCTTGGCGGCGACAGGAGGGCGCCGGGGTGCGGAAAAACGGGGGGCCGTGGGCCCGCCCTGGGGTGGGCCCCGTCTTATCCCCCCCCCTTCCAGCACCCCAGCGCGCTGCGCCGTGCAGCGGGCTGGCCTGGGACTTTGCCTCGCCCTCGTGCTCACCTTCGCTTCCGGGGCCCGCTTCCCCGGAGAGGCAGGCCGCTCCGTGCGCTCGGTGCCCGCTTCCCCCGCCCCCCCCCGCCGCTCCGCGCTGCGCCGTCCCAGGTCGCAACTTCTACTCCGAGCTGCTGCGTTGGCCCAGCCGCTACCGGGATTTTTTCTGCTGCGAGCGCCCCGACGACGCGGCTATCTGCTGCCAGCAGGCGCCTCCTGCCCGCCACTTCCATGCGTTCGTAGGGGGGGACGAGGCGGAGGACGAGGAGGAGGAGGAGGAGGAGGAGGAGGAGGAGCTCTTCGCGAGCTCTTCGGTCGGTGACTTCGTCACTCAGGAGGAGGAGGAGGAGCAGGAGGAGGAAAACGAGGAGGAGGAGGAAAAGTACGAGGAGGAGGAGGAAGAGGACAAGGGGAGGAGGCAGACGCCGTTTGCGAACGACCCCGAGTGCACTGGTCTGCGCGTGCTGTACGACCCGCTGAAGCAAAACAAAAGGAGGAGGAAGAGGAGGAGGAGGAGGAGGAGGAGGAGGAGGAGGAGGAGGAAGAGAGGAGGAGGAGGAGGAGGAGGAGGAGGAGGAGGAACAGCAGGCGCAGGAACAGCTGCAGGATCAGACATATCGTTTTGTTTGCCCTCAGTTGCTGTTTGTACATGATTTCTTCTCGCTCTCTCTCTCTCTCTCTCTCGTTGTCTTGCCTTTTTTCCCATATCCCATATCTTCTTCTATCATTTCGCGATGGGTCCCCGTTCCTCTCAGCGTTGCTCTTTGCCTCCTTCTGTTTCTTCTTGTCCTCCCGCCCCCTCTCCGCCATTCTTCTCCCCGTCCTGCTTTCCCTCCAGTTTCCCTAGGGGGAGGGGGAGGGGGAGGGGGAGGGGGAGGGGGAGGGGGAGGCGGCCCTTTTCCCTTTCGGAGGAAGCGTTGACATTATGTACCCCAACGCCTCTCTATGATGCCACCGCCTTTGTTCCGAATTCCTCCTCCCACCCCCAAGCGCGGCCTTTCACACCTGGTTTTTGCTAGTCCCAGACACTGATACGCAGCGGCGGTCTTCTTAACATTCGTTTTATAGTTATCTTTGTAAATGCCTCTTGGCCAATGCCGCCGATCAGGGGGGCGAGGATGCTTGTGCGACGAAATAGTATGCAGGCAGCATTGGGCTCCTCCTTCCTTTTGTGTTTGTGTTTATTCTTGCTCTAGAGGGGGAGCTGAGCTGAGGCTCTGTGGGCATGAATGATCCAAGACGCTTGCGGCGAATCACCGCCGCCCCCTTCCTCTTCGGAAGCGCCTGTGTGGCCGAAACTTGGGGTAGAGCTTGGCCGAGCTATCGGACCATGTGTTCACCCCAGCCGTCGTTGAAACCCTTCGCGGAACACGTGAGGAAAAGGATAATTATTATAATCAGTAAAAAGGAGGCGGAGGAGGAGGAGGATGAACAGGAGGAGGAGGAACACAGGAAGGAGGACTAGACCTCTTGGGAGCCTCTTGGGGCACTTTTGGGGTCTCCTGTGAGTTTCCTGGGAGCCACTTGGAGGCCTCTTGGGGGTCTCCTTCGATCTCTTGGGGGCCTTTGGTGGCTTGTTCGGGGCCTCTGTGGCTGTCTTAGGGCTTTCCTGGGCAGTCTGAAGCCGCCGGGAGCCGTCTTGGGGGCATCTCTGGACCGTCTTGGGGCCTCTTGGGGTGCTTCAGGACCGTCTTGAAGGCCATCTTGGCCGTCATGGAGGCCTCTTGGACCTTCCTTGGGCCCCCCTGTGGGCCGTCTTGGGGGCTTCTTGTATCGTCCTGGGGCCATCTTCGGGGCCTCTTGGGCCATCCTGGGCCGCCGAAAGGCCAACAAGAAACAAATGCCAAAATCCTTCAAGAGCCCCTTCGGACAATCAATGATTTGGGCCTCCTCGGGCCCTCCTGCAGGACCTCTTGGAGGCCTCTTGGGCCGTCTTGGAAGCCTCTTGGGGGCCTCTTGGGTCGTCTTGGGCCGTCTTGGAGGCTTCTTGGGCAGACTTGGCATCTTGGACCCTCTCGGGCCGTCTTCGAGGTCATCTTGGGCGAACTTGGAGGCCGTCTTGGCCGTCTTGCAAACCATCTTGGGCCATGTTGGGGGCGGTTTTGGGCAACAACCCCAGCAGTTTCGGCAGCCTTCCGGGTGGCCAGCGGCATCGGCCGAAGCCCCAGGTGGAGTTTTTTAGGGACAAGAACAAACAAAAGCCGTATAGGGTCTAGCACGCCAGGCGCCCCTGTGGCAAGGCCACATGGGGCGGCGGATCGAAGACGCCTACGGCGAATCACCGCCGCCCCCTGCCTTTTTGGAAACGCCTGTGTGGCCGAACGTTGTGGCCAGAGGCCTGCCAAGCTATCGGACCATGTGTTCCCCGAATCGGTTTGGAAAGCGTTTGGGGAACACGGTGGGGGAGGAGGAGGAGGAAGAGGAGAGGGAGGAAGAAGCAGGAGGAGGCCTTTTGGGCGCCTCTTGTGGCACTCTTGGGGCCTCCTGGGAGCTTGCTGGGGGCCTCTTGGAGGCCTCTTTGGGGCCTCCTTGGGCCTGTTGGGGGCCATTGGGGGCTTCTTGATAGTCTCGTTGGCCGTCTTAGGACGTTCCTAGCTTGTCTGACGCCGTCGGAAGCCGTCATAGGGGCCTGTCTGGGTTGTCTTGGGGCCCTCTTGGGGCATTTCAGGGCCGTCTTCGAGGCCATCTTGGGCGTCTTGGACGCCTCTTGGGCCGTCTTGGGCGTCATAGGGCCATCTTGGAGGCCTCGTGGGCGATCTTGGGGGCCTTTTGGGCCGTCTTCAGGCGTCGGAAAGCCGAGAAGACGCACATGCCCAAATCCTTCAAACACCTGGGTAAGAACAATGATTTTGGTCTCTTCGGGCCCTCCTGGGCGACCTCTTGAGGCCTCTTGGGCCGTCTTGGTCGCCTCTTGGGGGCCTCTTGGGCCGTCTCAGACCGTTTTCGATGCATTTTGGGCCGTCTTGGAGGCATATTGGCGCCATCTCAGCCGTCTTGGAGGCCACCTTGGCCGTCTTGAAAGCCTCTTGGGGGCCTCTTGGGGCCGTCTTGGGGGCCTCTTGGGCCGTCGTGGGGCCTGGAGGCCTCGTGGGCGATCTTGGGGCGATCTTAGGGGCCTCTTGGGTCGTCTTCAGCCATCGGAATACCGAGAAGAAGCAAATGCCCAAATCAATCAAACACTCAAGTACAATCTTTGATTTTGGTCTCTTCGGGCTCTCCTGGAGGACCTCTTAGAGGCCTCTTGGGTCGTCTTGGAGGCCTCTTGGGAACCTCTGGGGCCGTCTTGGGCAATACTGAGGCCATCTCAGGCCGTCTTGGATGCATCTTGGACCGTCTTGGGGGCCTCTTGGGGTCATCTTAGCCGTCTTGGAGGCTATCGTGGTCGTCTTGGAGGCCTCTTGGGGCCCTCTTGGCCGTCTTGGAGGCTTCTAAGGCCGTCATGGGGCCCTCTTGGAGGCCTCGTGGGCGATCTTGGGGCGATCTTGGCGGCCTCTTGGGCCGCCGTCTTGAGCCGTCGGAATGCCGAGAAGAGGCAAATGCCAAAATCCTTCAAAACCCTACGGGAAGTCAATGATTTTGGCCTCTTCGGGCCCTCCTGGAGGACCTCTTGGAGACCTGTTGGGCCGTCTTGGGCCGTCTTGGAGGCTTCTTGGGTCGCCTTGGGCCGTCTTCGAGTCCATCTTGGACCATCTTTGGCGGACTTGGAGGCCACCTTGGACCATCTTGGAGGCCATCTTGGGCCGACGTGGCCATCTTGGAGGCCATCTACGTCTTGGAGGATTTTTTTGGGACTTGAGCTCTTGCAGATCGTCCCGGGACCCCGGAGAGACGTGCCGGAGCCCTTCTCTTGGAAAAGAACTAAAACCCAAACCGAAAGGGTTCAGCACGCCAGGCACCCCTGTGATGAATCAACAGGGGGCGGCGATCGAAGACGCCTACGGCGAATCACCGCCGCCCCCTGCCTTTTTGGAAGCGCCTACGTGGCCGAACGTTGTGGCCAGAGGCCTTCCAAGCTATCGGACCATGTGTTCCCCGAATCGGTTTGGAAAGCCTTCGGGGAACACGTGAGCATCTTGAAGATCATCTTGGCCGCCTGGCGGCCATTTTGACCCTTTCGGGCCTTCTTGGAGGACGTCTTGGAGGGCTCTTGGGCCGTCTTGGAGGCCATCTTGAGCGTCTTGGAGGCCTCTTTGGCCGTCTTGGGGGCCTCTTGGGGCCGTCTTGGGCCTCTTGGGCGATCTTTGGGGGCACTTGGGCCGTCTCGGGCCGTCGGAAGGCAGAAAAAAAAATATCCAGACGAAGGACCCAACTATACGCAAGTGTGAAAACCGCAGGGCAGGTGGGACGAAGCAAGGGGAATTCCTCATGGGGCCACGAACCGTGTGAGGGGTGCACCAAACTGGCGCGGGGCCGCCATGCGAACCCTGCCACTGGGGCCTTCGGTGGAGCTCCCTATGGGGCCACGAACCGCGTGAGGGGTGCGCCAAAATGGTGCGGGGCCGCCATGCGAACCCTGCCACTGGGGCCTTCGGTGGAGCTCCCTATGGGGCCACGAACCGTGTGAGGGGTGCACCAAACTGGCGCGGGGCCGCCATGCGAACCCTGCCACTGGGGCCTTTCGGTGGAGCTCCCTATGGGGCCACGAACCGTGTGAGGGGTGCCCCAAAATGGTGCGGGGCCGCCATGCGAACCCTGCCACTGGGGCTTTCGGTGGAGCTCCCTATGGGGCCACGAACCGTGTGAGGGGTGCACCAAACTGGCGCGGGGCCGCCGTGCGAACCCTGCCACTGGGGCCTTCGGTGGAGCTCCTTATGGGGCCACGAACCGTGTGAGGGGTGCGCCAAAATGGTGCGGGGCCGCCATGCGAACCCTGCCACTGGGGCCTTCGGTGGAGCTCCCTATGGGGCCACGACCCGTGTGAGGGGTGCACCAAACTGGCGCGGGGCCGCCATGCGAACCCTGCCTCTGGGGCCTTCGGTGGAGCCCCCTATGGGGCCAAGAACCGTGAGGGGTGCGCCAAAATGGCGCGGGGCCGCCATGCGAACCCTGCCACTGGGGCCTTTCGGTGGAGCTCCGTATGGGGCCACGAACCGTGTGAGGGGTGCGCCAAAATGGCGCGGGGCCGCCATGCGAACCCTGCCACTGGGGCGTTCGGTGGAGCTCCCTATGGGGCCACGAACCGTGTGAGGGGTGCGCCAAAATGGTGCGG